AGAAAGCGGGCACGGCAGGATGGGAAGCGTTCGCAGCGGGTCCCGCTCCCTCTCGTCCACCATCATCAGGGACAAGGTCCACCAGGTGACCTGCACCCCGACGCGAGAAAAAGGTGTCGTTGGAGTAGAGGTCGAACTCGGAGACGCCCTCGTCCGACCTGGAGAAGTTGGCCGCGCCCGAGAAGCCGCGCAGCCAGGGGGGCGCGACCAGGCGCCAGCCCGCTACCTCGAAGGCCCGCGAGCTCCCAGGTGTCTGCAGGGCGCCGAGGCACCACAGCAGCACCCGAATCCACCTCGAGTGTGGCCTTACGCCTTGAGCGCGCTTGGCCAGGACTTGCCACGGGAGCCCCGGCCGCGACCTATTCGTGATCTGCGCCCGCCGCGCCGCTGTCCTGGGCGCCCTGCAGGTGCTTCGCGATGGTTGCCCTCCTCTTCAGCTTCTCCGTCACCTCATCGTCGGCCTTCAGGTTCGCAAGCTCCGTATCGCCGTCCACCTTGAGGTACTCGTCAGCCAAAGCCCAGTCGACCTTGGAGCGCCACTTGCTCCCGCTCTGCTGTCCCTTCGGTCGCTGCCAGACGCTGAGACACTTCGCATTCTCGTAGGCCTTCCAGATCGCGTAGAGACGGAGGCAAGTGAGCTCCGCCGCGGGGCTGTTGATGAGCTGGTCATAGGCGCCCTCTGCCATCATGCGGTCCAGGACCATGGCCAACATCATCGCCTCCGAGCTGATGCTCGCCCGCTGCAGCTCCTTCGACCTCAACCACTCGCCCAGCTCGATCTCGGCCGTGCGCCCCGAACGGTACAGCTTGTGAAGCACGGTCGGCGCGACCCTCGTCTTCGCGCCGCCCACAGGCGTCATGCGCACATGCTTGAACTTCTCGAGGGTGGCCAGCAGGCCGTCGCGCGGGTTGCGACTCTCCTCCTTCAGCAGCTGGATGCGATCCTGTAGCTCCTAGTCGACGCGCCCGACCTGCTCCCAGGAGCCCGTGCTGTCGAATGACTTCGCTGGGGACCCTGTGTCAACAGTCGCCCGTGTAGAATCCGTCTGTGCCGTATCCACGTGCTCGTTCAGCTTCGAGATGAAGTCGTCGATCTGGGACGTGGTCGGCTGGCCCTCGCTCTCACTCACGGACGGAGTCTCAGGGCTCGAGGGGCCTGGGTCCGACGTGCGGTCTGACCCACTCGAACGTGGAGGCGAGGCCCTGGCCCCGAAAGACTGCGTCGCAACTGCCCCAGTCAAGTCGGTCATCGCCCTCTGCAGGGCCTGCTGCTGATTGGCCAGCCCCGCGAAGAGGCGTCGTGGGGGCGGCTCGTCGTCGGAGTCGGCAAACTGTGCCCCCAGGACCCTGTCATCCTCGTCGTCGCTGATCGTGGAGCCCCTTTCCGAGTCGGAGTCGCTCGAGTCGCCGTAGGACCATGCCCAGAGAAGGTACCCCGTCACCAGCGTCCCGCCGATGGCCACGAGGACGTACTCCAGGTCCCCGCTCTCGTAGTACTCGTAGATGGTGTCATACACGTGCTGCACGTCCTCAACAGTCTCGTAGACGGCTCGGGCCCCATCATAGGCCGCTCGGAAGATTGAGCCCAGGCGGAAGAAGCGCCACGCACGCCAGCACAGGAAGGAGATCGCGCTCCACGACCCCCAGCTCCGCTTGGCCCACAGCGCCGTGAAGATGTTCCCCACTCCGCCCGTCAGCCACGCGACGAAGCCACCCTTCGCACTCTTCTTCTTCGCCTTCGGCGGGGGCTTGCTCACCTTCAGCTTCCCGTTCTCGGCGTCGACCTCGAGCCTGGCGATCGCCCTCTCCGCCGCGGTGATGACCGCATCGCGGGCCCGAGCTGAGACGCCAAGGTGCTCCGTCCACTCCACGTTCGCCGTCGGCTTCGTCAGCACCCGCTTCTTGTCCCTCACGTCGATCATCACAATGCGATGGGTGGGGTCCGCTGATGCCCACAGGCCCGGATGCTTCGCGCCCGCCTTCGTCACCAGCAGCATCACCACCCCCTGTGGCTTAGAGGGGTTCTTCACATAGATCCTGTTCCATCGTGCCCACGGCGCCATCGTCCACCTGGTGGTGGCCGTGCCCTCGATCACCTCCTCGCCGTAGGCCTCGATGGTGGCGCTGCCGAAGCCGCGCTCGAAGACCCCGCTCTCGGGGATCAGGTAGTGCAGCTCCTGCACCACCAGGAAGAACAGCACGGCGAGCACCCCGCGCGCCGTGATGGCAGCCCCCGCGCGCCCCGCGGCGGGGGCACGGAAGCAGGCTGGTGCCTCGGTCCTGCAGGCGACGGGCTCGCTGGAGCCCAAACCAGCTCGGACCGAAAAAGCTATGAGCACATACAATGACAAAGACGCAAACGAAAGCACAATGCAATGCAATAGAACAAGACGGAAACCGACCCTTTTCGACTGAAAGGGGTCGGTTTTAACCGTCGGACAAAACAATGCGCGCCAGAGTACAGACGGCCCCCGACCCCGCACCCTGAGACATAAAATATTGTTTGAAAACAGTTAATGACATGGAGGGCGGATGTGGCACTGACGGCGGCACGGATGCTGACCCTGAGCCTGAGGAGGATGTCGAAGAGGAGACGAGGAAGGTCGAGTTGCTTCCATTGCTTGATCTGGCGGCCGATGCACACGTTAAGAACGCAGCAGCGTTGGATGAGCCAGCGAAGAAACCAGCAGAAAGCTCAGCAGCGGGGGGGCCGAAGGGAGGAGTTGCACCTGGAAGGGGAGCGAGTAGTTCAGGAGGTGATGCTGGCCCTGCTCATCCAAGTCCCGTGCCCCCTCCTCCAGAGCCGCCTGTCGTGGGCGCTGGTGCCCTTGCTGGCGGCGGCGGTGGAAAAGGAACTGGTAGAAGGAATGTGGGGAGAGCTCATGTGGAGTGGCATCGTCCAAACAAAATTATCCGCTACTACCTGACGGGTGATTACTTTACAGCTTCTTGTTCTGTTCACGGGCCTGGTTGTGTTCTCAGTCGCACTGCCTCCAAGACGTATAAGAGTGTGCTTGTGCGGAAGTACTTGATTGGTAGGCCTGTTGGGTTCTCGGATGCGTGGCTTGATCAGGCTGATGCGGATGGCGTGGTAGAGAAAGCTACGCATTGCGCTTCAATCTTGCAGAGGTCATTGACTTTCGATAGTCGGAATACGTCTAGAGACGCTGCTAAACGTGATGATCGCGGGCTTGCTGTCCTGAACGAGGGGAGGCCCAACGAGGATGGGGAGCTCAACGAACCAGAGTCCGTCACGCCGTACGTCACAGGTGGCGTATATGATTGAGTTTGTGGTTGGCAGCTTACGTTTTCAATGGTTCTCTGACAGGGCCGAGCAGTTAATTGTTGTATATTCGTCTCTGTATGTTTTCAGGTGTGCCTTCTAAGTTGACGGGGTGAGATCGGCGCATCTGTCGACGTGTCGGGGCGGTGGGAAGGAGTGAGAGGTGAGGGGGTTGGCGTGAGTGGAGGAGGGGGGAGGGTGAAGGGTCAGCGGGCGAGGGAGGATACATGGGGGACGCTTCGGAAGGTTCGTTTACCACGTGTGTTTCATCATCGGCATATGCGGTGAGCGTTTTTATCATTTGCAGGTTCGCGCGGGGGGTTGCATGGCTGTCATTGGAATCGCAGGACGATTGATTGATCGAATGTGAGGGGGGAGGACAGAGTGAGAGACTGAGAGAGTAGAAGCGTAGCGCGTTCGCGTTATAGTTGGCATCAACAGTTGCCTTCCCCCCATCATGTCGCATGGTCTACGGTTCCACGGCGTTCAGTGATGCCCAGCTTTGGCGCGTGTTTAGTGGCCACGTCGCTGGTTCCGAATAGACAAGGTCAGGTTTGCATGGTGCTGTAACTGGCGCCGTGGGATGGATTAGTTTGTTTGCGTGTCTATCAAGTGTGCAACGCCCAGGGGTGTACAGCGGTGCACCCGAGAGGGTTTATGTAGCAAGTAGGCGGCCGAGGATTGCTAAGGATTAGCATGGAGGGTAAGGGAGGCGGCCCGCACAATTCAACTTCGGGCTGCTGGGGCCAAACCGCCGCTGCAGGACGGCGTTGTTGCCGCTAGGGGCGGTCCGCCAGCGGGCAGGGAGGAGGGTGCTGCCAATGGGTGGCGGAATGCATGCGGAAGGAGCGCAAAGGAGGGGAGGGAATGAGACGGAGGAATGAACGGGGCGTTTGGGGAACGGGAGGAGGGGCAAGGAGAGGAACGGAAGGGGGATGGAGAAGGGGAGGGAGGAACCCGTGTGTGTGTGTGTGCATCGTGAACATATGGTTCGTGACAAAGGCCTCATCGCGGCTATGCTATGCTCCGTGCCCCTGCGCTAGTCTACTACAATGTCCCCTGTCTGTCCTACTAGTACTCCTCATGTTCAATATCCACACCCACAGTGTCCGCATTCGTCCACCCTCCTCCTTCTTCTGCTCGCCATTCTCCGCTTCCTCTTCATCCGTGCCCCCCCCTCCTCATTCTCCGTGGCATGCACCGCTACCCCCCCGTCTGCCAGCAGTGTCTGCCGCCCCCTAGCACACCCCCCTAACAACATCTTCGCACCCTCCTGCCCTTCTCACTCACTCCCCTCTTCTCCAACCAACGCGTGGTCCAACCTACCTAAATACCCCACCTGTGCTCTATCCTTCACAACCCGTTGCCCTCGCTATTGCCCCTTGTACTACACAGCGTGTACAAGTCTTCTCAATGTTTGGACCCCTCGCACCTCGATTCTCCTTCCTCCGCCCTTCCCAGATCTGCTCTCTTCGGCTCTCCTGACTAGGCGTGCGGTCAATCCACTCCTCCCCCCCTCATTCTCCTTATCCTGCTCCTGCTCCTGATGCTTGTCAACCTTCTCATGCTGCCACTCTTTCCTCCTCCATCCTCTGCCTGCATTCCTCCTCCACCTCCTGTTCATCACCCTCCCCATCCGTCTCCTGCTACATGTTGTCCTCCTCCATCCTTCGCCTCGGTCTCCTCCTGCTCGTCCTGCCCCACCTCCTCCCTGTTATGTCTTCTCGTTCCCTCACGCCCCGCGCATTTCAGATCGCTCAGCCTCGCCATCCTCTTTGCCGTCTCCTTCGGTTGCGCGGCGGGTCAGCCCCTCTGGCCATCGGGGTGGGGGCGCCGCGGGAGAGAGGTCGCCCCGCCGCTGTTCGCCGCGCCCGCACGAGCATCAGGCGAAGCTCGCCTCTGCAACGGAGAAGACGGTTGCGTTTCGAGCCGCCTCGGACGATACCTGAAGAAGGGAGTTGCGGTGACCACAGGCCTCCGAAGGCTTCGTTGCCTCCGTGTGATCCTCTTCTCCTAGCAATCCTCCAACAGCAAACCCGGAATGCCCAAGATGCTTGACGTAGAAGTTCAGATACTGAGCCCCGTCCTCAGTGCGCCCATGGGCAACTTTCACCTGCACCTTCCCAAACTTCAGCCACTTCGGCTGATCATCATGCACACTCTGAGCTTGGAAACAGAGACCGCTCGTCCCTTTTGCCTCCACCCACTCCCCTGTGATATTCAGTTCTTGGAAATACATGTCTGCACATTGTCCGCCCATTTGGCGCGCATCGGCCTGCACGCGAAGCAATGCGTTCTTGTGCCTTCCACGAGGGATGTTGATCAGAACATGCTTGCCCGGTTTCATCAAATCGAACCTCTGACCAAGAACGTTCTGCAAATGGGGATCGCCGGTGGCAGCCACGGCACCGCCAGCCCCACCCGCCATGGGAGCTCCAACAGGAAACGTCGGATGTGGCGTCGGCCAACCCAGAGGATACGTCGGGCTGGGCGTCGGGCTGGGCGTCGGAAAGGCGGTCGGGTAGGGCGTCGGAAAGGCAGTGGGGTAGGCAGTGGGGTAGGCAGTCGGGTAGGGCGTCGGGTAGAGTGTCGGGTAGGGCGTCGGAAAGGCAGTGGGGTAGGCAGTGGGGTAGGCAGTCGGGTCGGGCGTCGGGTAGGGTGTCGGGTAGGGCGTCGGAAAGGCAGTGGGGTAGGCAGTGGGGTAGGCAGTGGGGTAGGCAGTCGGGTAGGGCGTCGGGCTGGGCGTCGCGGCGCTGCACGCCTGGATATTCGTGACATAGTGCCAGTTGGTAGCACCACCCGTTCTTGCAGTGAAGGCCAGCTGCTGACTACCAACGGGCGACGCGTAGCCATTAATCGTAGCGGTCCTATAGTAGTAGCCGTTGTCGAAGTTCAGAATCACACTGGCACCGCTGCCGCTTGGCGTGACCTCCACAATGACGTCATGCCAAGTGGAGTCCTCGAAGAGGGGCACTTTGTGAGTCCAGTGGCCCGAACCTATCTGTTCAAAGATGGACCCTCCATTCCAACCCATCAACACGCCATGATCATCCCCGTTTGAATAGGAGTCGAAGCATACAGAGAAGAGCCACTGCCAGCAATGTATTCGCCAAACTCGCCAGAGTCATAACCGCCGTACTTCATGCACATGCCGTCAGCGCCTGCGGAGCACAGTATGGTATTATCTCCCGCACGTGGTATTGCATTGTCGAGGGAAGGGCGTGCTTGGTATGGTGCCCCCGCATGGGGTATCGCATCGTCGTGGCGAAGGGGCATCACATTGCTCCCCGCAAAGAGGATCATTACTGCAGGCGGCCCCGCGTGGCCAGAGAACCGGGTCCCGCACGGCACTGGGCAGGCGCAGAACCTGGGCAAGCATGGCGAACGCTCACGCACCATTCAGCAGATACCGGGACACCAAACATTTCCCCCTCCCCGCGACAACACAAGACTCCCTGCCGGGGGGGACAGTAAAATACCCCGTCCCCGCGAGAATACGATATCCCCCGCGGGGGAGAATGCAATACCCCCTCCCTGCGAAAAGAAAGCGTGCCCCCCGCGAGAGACAATACATTACAATGTACATCCTTCCGTCTGCGCCTGACCCACCGCCCATCCACATGTCGAAATTGATCCTGAATCCTCCCGAATTTGCCCACGTGTAGTATGCCCGCCCACGCTGGCTGCCCTGATTGTTTGTCAACACGATGGTACTGCCAGACAGATAAGAGTCGTACTGGTAGGTGAAACTGCTGGCTGCGATCGAGGAACAAGACCACGAGCGATCTGTCTGCAAATGTCCCGTCGCGTTGCCACCGGCACCCGTCTGAAGAGAAACTGCGGTAGGTACGCTGTGGAGAAGTACCCCCACCAGCCACGCGGACCAGTGTGCCATGCGGACTGAATGGCAGAATTCGCTTGCGCGAAAACCGAGATACACAAGGTGGGTGTGTGATGTACGATCACGGACTGTACCACGATACAAGCCTTGAGCCAAACCGGTTACGGAGCTACATCCACAACACTTTGGGGCTATGCAGGTGTTTTGCCGTATGTTGCTGCTTTGTTCTCTGGACTCGTGGGGCCGTTGTGAGTATGTTTCGGGCGTCGTCAAGCCCTCTTGGAAACCTCTTTGAACCCCTTGGGGCTCTCCTGGGGTCTCCACGGGACCGTGTTGGGTGCCTCTTGGGCTGTGTTTGAAAACTGTTGGGGCCTACTCGCGCTTTTGAGGCCTCTGAGGGGCCTCGGGGTCCTCCCGAGACTTACCCCAAAACGATTCCATCTTGGGCAAATCTTCTCTGGCCTTGAATCGATGAGAAAGCAATCCGACCATCGCAGGGAGGCCCCTCCCGCCCCCCTATGGCTATCTTGGAAACGCACTCGGGGCCATGGAGGACTATCTTGGGCCCTCGAATCCATCATCTGGGAGTCTTGGGGCCATCTTAGCGCCTCGTGGGCGACGGGTTCTGGAGACCTCGCACGAACGCGGGGAGGCCGTGGAGGGGCGTGGGATTCCACGGAGGAGGGCATCTGCCCGGACCCAAGTCTCGCGGTCACAATTCTTCGCTGGGCGCCACGGGCTGCACGTAACAAGTGGCCCAGTGCAAGAGTGTGACTTCTGGTGTTCCCGCGGGGGACCATATCCAGGCGCGCACGAGCCAGTGCTGGAGGGGTACCCCTGTGGGGTGCTCGTTACAATATGGATCGCCCAACGACTATTCTCTCGCCATCGTCGTCCGCCCGACCCTGAGGGCCCGCACCAGAAGGCCACTCCAGCGAAGGGCCATCCTGACGCGTGTAGACGGCGCCAGCGCGAGAGCGACGACAACAGCGCTCCCAGGCCGACGGCAGCGGCCTCGGACATCCTCCGATGTGCTTTTTCAAGCCGAGGCCCCAGAACTCCCGACCCCTTCCCCGCGGGCAATTTTGCGTTTCGATGGCCCTGGGGCCCGAAAGCGCATCCCCCGTGGAGGCCGAAATGAAGGAAACACGCACGGGGTGAAGACATCTGGAACGACGGCCGGCGTCCGCACGCACGGCTGATAACGAGGATGACGACGACGATGACGATGACGATGGCGACGACGACGACGACGGGGACGAGGACGACGACGAAGCCAACGACGACAACGTCGACGCCGACGACGGCGCCAGAAGGAACACGACGAGCAGGGCAAAGGCGGCAGCGGTCGGCTCCCCGCGGCGAACCCGCGGCGCCCTCTCCCGGCGAGAGCGCCAAGGCGCCCAAGTCCACCAAGCTGGGCAACCGCTTCAGCCAAGCGACGTCCACCGCGGTGACCCAGCCGGGCTCGCGCGCCGCCGCCGCCGCCGCCGTCGTCGTCGTCGTCGTCGTCGTGGTGGCGGTGGTGGTGGTGATCGTCGTTGTCAACGTGGCTGTCGTCAGGGTCGTCGCCGTCGTCATCGCCGTCGTCATCGTCGACGTCGTGGTGGTGGTGGTCGTCGCAATGGTCGTCTTCGTAGCGGCCGTCGTGGTTGTCGCTGTCGCCATCATCGTGCTTGTCGTCACCGTCGTGGCTGTCGTCGAAGAGGATGAGGGTGATGAGAGGGGGAGAAGGGACATCGATCCTCGAACATGAGGAGGAGGAGGAAGAGGAGGACAAGGAGGAGGAGGAGGGCGAGAAGGAGGACGAGGGGTTTTCCAGTTGGCGACATGCTGCAACGCAGTCAACAGCGAGCTAGTGTTGAGAGTCGAACTGGAAACGCCACAGGGAGACAACCATGCGGGAGGCCTGACAAACGACGCTCGGCAGCACCGCCCGCAGAGCGAGACTCATAACAAGAGGCAGCTGCCCAGACTGCGCCTGGCGCGGGCGGAGGCTCCCGCCTCTGAAACACTCCCGCGGTGCCAGGAGAGCTCGCGCGGCCGCCGATGCGGTGGGGCCTGGAAACAGCGCAGGCCGACAGCTCAGAACGCGACGCACCACAGCGCCGCCCTTGCGGCACGCGCAACGCCACGCTCACATAACGAGGCCACTGCCCCGACCCGAGCCTTTTGCCTGCCCATCAAGTCTGGGGCCAAGGACCCCCCTTGACGACCGGGCGGGTCACCTGGCTCGAGCAAGAATGGGGCCAAAACCACCCACGCAAACCCCCTTTCCAAAAGGGGGCCGTGGGCCTTCCCCGACCCCGCCCAAACCCGAATGCGGTGCATTGACCTGGCGTGCTACCCGCTGCACCAACCACCTACCGATCCAGGGTGGCTTTGGCCTCGCGGGGCAAGACTGGCCGAGCCCCGAAGGCCGAGACTGCCCCATCCCAGGCCGCGAGCAACCAAGTGGACACGTCCCACGGACCCAGAACCAAACCCATCCCACCACCGCGGCGCGAGCCCGCAAGCAGTGCGACTGTCATTTCTCCCTTGCGGAGCAACCCAGGGTGGAGGACTTGAGGTATTCTGGCTTTTGGGCGCCTTAAGCCCGTCAGTGGGCCTTGTTTCCTGGAGCCACCACCCTGTAGGGCATGATAGTCCGATATGGCATTCGGCCTGGGACCATCTGGGTCCAGACCCCCCACTGGCTGGGCAAACAAATGATGAGCGCCTGAGCACCGTGGCCCAAGCACTTCGGTTCCACCGTGGACGTGCATCTTGGCACCTTCTCGGTCCCCGTGAACCCATTGGCACCACTCTTGTTTATCACAGACCTTTAGCAAATCGGGGATGCACCTACCAGGTTCCTTTCTAACCATTTCTTCCTCCCTCACCTGCCCCCTTCAACGCTGCTGTACTTTCAGCAACTTTTTTGTGCAGTGCACGAGCAAACGCATGAGGCCCGTCCCGGGGCACTGAACATGAGATCCGTTTCCCCTCACGGGGGCTATGAACGAACCCATCGGATACAGGCACGGGCATGACGGCGGTAATGCAGCGGAGGAGGAGGAGGAGGAGGAGGAGGAGTAGGAGGAGGCGAGGGGAGACAGGAAACACGTGAATACTGCAAGGAACCCTCGGCTTTCGAAACCCAGCCGCGCGCGGCACGTGGAACTTAGGGTCTGCTCAGCCGCAAGACAAAAATCAGAGTAATCATTGCATCCACACCTGAAGCCAGAAATGCCGAAGCACAGTACCCGAAAGAGAAATCCCACCAGCCCTTTGGGCGTAAGTGGTTTAGCGAGCTCTCTCTGTCCTCAACCCCCCTTCTTCCCCTTCGGGGAGGGGTTTACCCCTCCCCCTCCCCCCTCCCCCTGGACCTGGAGAGGGAGTCCCGAGCGTAGTCAGGGGGGTCTTTTTCGACGCCTGGGAGGGCCAAAAAACGACGACCTTCACGAGGATTCTGGCCTCGAGGGGGGGGGGGGAGTTTGGTCCCTCAGCTCGTCTTCGAAGCAAACAACATGGATGTTACTACGGTTTTGGCCCCATTTTGGCCTTCTGAAGGGGCCGCGCTCCTCTTCCTTCATAGCAAAATCATTGATTTTACAAAAGTATTGGGCTCATTTTGTCCTTCTCAGGGGGCAGCGCTCGCTTGCGCTTCTGAGGAAGTCGCAAGAGGCCCCAAGATGGCCCCAAAAGGCCCCCAGGAAGCTCCCAAGAGGCCTCCAGGAGGCACCCCAGAGGCCCCCAAGAAGTCCCAAGAGGTACCCAAGAGGCTCCCAAGAGGCCCCCAAGAGGCCCCAAGAGGCTCCAAGAGGCCCCCAAGACGCCCCCAAAAAGCCCCCAAGAGGCCCCCAAGATGCCCCAAGAGGCTCCAAGAGGCCCCCAACAGGCCCCACGAGGAGCCCGAACGACTCACACCAGGACGAGAGACCCCGACGACTCACACCACGAGGAGCCCGAACGACTCACACCACAAGGACGAGGGGCCCGAACGACTCACACCAGGACGAGGCGCCCGAACGACTCACACCAGGAGGAGGGGACCGAACGACTCACACACAAGGAGGGGACTCACACCACGAGGAGCCCGAACGACTTACACACAATGAGGGGCCCGAAGGAGTCACACAAGGAAGGGCGAGGGGCCCCGGCGACTAATGCCACGAAGAGCTGGAACGACTCACAAATCTGCAACGCACACAGACGCGAACTCTCGCATTATCTCTGGCGTGCCTGCATGTCCTCGAGCGTTAGCCGCCACAGCGCTGCTGCTACGAGGGCGGGCCCAATGGGGCAAGGAGTGATACATGCATCACAACAACAAGTGGCCGATATAATCTACTCTATGTGTCGGCCCCAGTTCGGCGTCCGGAGGGGGCAGCGCTCCTCTTCCTTCACAGCACAACCATTGATTTTATGAAGGTTTTGGGTTATTCTGTCCTTCTCAGGGGGCATCGCTCATTCGCGCTTCTGAGGGATCGCACGAGGCTCCAAGCTGGCCCCAAGGGCCCCCAGGAGGCTCCCAAGAGGCTTCCCATACGCCTCTAAGAAGCTCCCAAGAGGACCCAAGAGGCACCCAAGAGGCCCCCAAGAGGCTCCAGGACGCCCCAGGAGGCTCCCAAGAGGGCCTCCAGAGGTCCCCACGAGGCCCTCAGGAGGCCCCACAGGCCTCGAGGAGGCCCCCAAGAGGGCCCCACGAGGAAGCCGAACGTCTCACCCCAGGACGAGGGGCCCGAGCGACGCACACCAGGACGAGCGGCCCGAACGACTCACACCACGAGGAGCCCGAACGACTCACACGCAAGGGGCCGCCCCAACGACGCACGCCAAGACGAGGGGCCCGAACGACTCCCACCACGAGGAGCCCGAACGACTCACGCACGAGGAGGGGCCCGAACGACGCACGCCAGGACGAGGGGCCCGAACGACTCACACCACGAGGAGCCCGAACGACTCACACACAATGAGGGGCCCGAGGCACTCGCACAAGGAAGGACGAGGCCCCCAAGAGGCCCCCAAGAGAAGGAGGCGCCCCAACGACTCACACCAGGACGAGGGGCCCGAACGACTCCCACCACGAGGAGCTCGAACGACTCACACACAAGGAGGGGCCCGAACGACGCACACCAGGACGAGGGGCCCGAACGACTCACACCACGAGGAGCCCGAACGACTCACATACAATGAGGGGCCCGAACGACTCACCCCAGGACGAGGGGCCCCAACGACTCACACCACGAGGAGCCCGAACAACTCGCACACAAGGAGGGGCCCGAGCGACGCACACCAGGACGAGCGGCCCGAACGACTCACACCACGAGGAGCCCGAACGACTCACACGCAAGGAGGCGCCCGAACGACTCACACCAGGACGAGGGGCCCGAACGACTCACACCATGAGGAGCCCGAACGACTCACACACAAGGAGGGGCCCGAACGACGCACACCGGGACCAGGGGCCCGAACGACTCACACCACGAGGAGCCCGAACGACTCACACACAATGAGGGGCCCGAGGCACTCACACAAGGAAGGACGAGGCCCCCAAGAGGCCCCCAAGAGGCCCCAAGAGGCCCCCAAGAGGCCCCCAAGAGGCTTCCAAGAAGCCCCAAGACGCCTCTCCAGGCCCCCAAGAGGCGCCCAAGAGACCACAAAGAGGCCCCCAAGGGGCCCCGAGAGCTTCCAAGAGGCCCCCAAGACGCCCACGAGGAGGCCGAACGACTCACCCCAGGACGAGGGGCCCCAACGACTCACACCACGAGGAGCCCGAACAACTCACACACAAGGAGGGGCCCGAGCGACGCACACCAGGACGAGCGGTCCGAACGACTCACACCACGAGGAGCCCGAACGACTCACACGCAAGGAGGCGCCCGAACGACTCACACCAGGACGAGGGGCCCGAACGACTCACACCATGAGGAGCCCGAACGACTCACACACAAGGAGGGGCCCGAACGACGCACACCAGGACCAGGGGCCCGAACGACTCACACTACGAGGAACCCGAACGACTCACGCACAATGAGGGGCCCGAGGCACTCACACAAGGAGGGACGAGGACCCCAAGAGGCCCCCAAGAGGCCCCAAGAGGCCCCCAAGAGGCCCCCAAGAGGCTTCCAAGAAGCCCCAAGACGCCTCTCGAGGCCCCCAAGAGGCCCCCATGAGACCCCGAAGAGGGCCCCAAGAGGCCCCGAGAGCCTCCAGGACGCCCCCAAGAGGCCCCACGAGGAGACCGAACGACTCACCCCAGGACGAGCGGCCCGAACGACTCACACCAGGAGGAGCCCGAACGACTCACACACAAGGAGGGGCCCGAGCGACGCACACCAGGACGAGCGGCCCGAACGACTCGCACCACGAAGAGCCCGAACGACTCACACGCAAGGAGGCGCCCGAACGACTCACACCAGGACGAGGGGCCCGAACGACTCACACCGTGAGGAGCCCGAACGACCCACACACAAGGAGGGGCC